TGTCGCCAGGCTGGAGTGCAGTGGCACGATCATAGTTCACTGCAGTCCCAAACTCCTGCACTCAAGTGATCCTCCAGGCTCAGCCTCCTGAGTAGATGAGATTACAGGCATGAACCACCGCACTCAGCACCCCTTTTTTAAAGTGAAGAAAACTGTAGATGCAGGGGTTAATGTGGTTAATGCCAGAGCCTGGATGAGACATACCTGATGGTCTTTTCAAAGTAATACTGTAATGCCACTAAAACTGAATGAACTAGAAAATAACTGTATTTTCAGTTGAATCAAACAGGCTTAAGAGCCTTCGTTGTCAAATCAACAGAGCCACAGTGAATTCCTCTGAGGTGGCAAACAGATAGTAGAAATGCCAAGAACCTGTGTCATTCAGTACCAAAGAAAACAAAGTACTAGAAAGGTACTGACAAAATCCCTCCTAAAAGTCAAGATGGGAGTATTATTCCATGTGTTGCACCTCATCCTCAGAGATTGGCAAGAAGAGGAAGTATTTCAAATCTGTGTTAAGAAGGTAAAAAAATACCGTATTTGTGAAGTAACTTTTTCCATTGAGGAACCATGTTAAATGCCCCTCTCTCCATCAGTGCTCAAGGAGCAAGCCAACCACCTCCCACTATCCTTACTCAAACTCCTCTTCTCAGATCCTGCTACCACTCCTAAGGCCAGCCTCCTATTTTAGTATCTAGTTTTGCCCCTTTCACGGCAGCCGATGACACCTGGTTCTATTGATGAGACATTCACCAACAATACTCTCCATTCTGTCCTTAACTAGTCAATCCCCTATCAGGGATTAATCCAACCAACCATTTTCTCATGAGCATGGCTGACAAATATCCTGGTGAGTGCTGATTGGTATAATTACTAATTTATAATTATAGCCTTAATTGGCCTTTAAAATTTTTTAATTGAAATATAATATCCGTATATACTATATCTCCAAGGGTAATCTCTATCCTGACTTTTTAGAACAATTCATTTTGTTATTCTAGCCTCAGCTAGTATTTTAATGTGGCCCAGAAATCCTTTTACTCATCCCTATCTTCTCTTTTCCCTATCTATAATGACCTTTCCAAATATTTCCCATTCTCCTTAATTTCACTGTTTCATTCAGTCACCCTCAGCAGATGGCCTAATAATCACCAGGGAAACGTAAGACATCTCTCCCAATTTATCTCCAAACCTACCTATCTTTACCCATCATTACTTCCTTTTCTCCTGTCTCTTAGCATTCTAAGTAAGGACATGAAGAATCTGGTCCATGCCTCTCTGGTCTAACCTGTTGCCACCTCCCCTATCTTATGTACATCCCACACCCCAGCAGTCAGACAAAATCCTCAAGGTTTCCTTTTATGCATAGTTATTTTCACATC